CGATAGCTCAAGTGGTAGAGCAGCGGCGTATTTAGCCGAAGGTCGTGGGTTCGAATCCCGCTCGTGACACTGACTTTTTTATCTCAACCAATTCCTTTCATACAGATGAATTAATTGAAAGTAGTTATTTGGTCAAACGGGCCACGAAATCTAATGGAATTAATGGTGTTTATTTTCTTAAATTTAGTAACTGAAACTTGGCCAAAGAATATAGAATCGAAATCTAGTACAGATCTAATGGAATATAATACATTAGCCATATAGAATGATCTGATGCTCATTTCGTTCCTACACAAAATGATAAAAAGGTATTGGCATTTTGATAGAACTCCCTTGATGTGTGAAACCCGTGTCAATTTTCTGCCAACCGTAAGTCCTAAAATTTTTACATTAAAGTTAAAACTTATGCATCGTTTTCATTATTTACATACAACTGAACCTGTTGTTTTGGAAATTTTTTCTAAATCGTGTTTTTTGAGCACATTGGCAATATTTTTTTTAATTAACATCATCAGAGACAGGAGCAGTTATTTAATATTGAAGGGGGTAGGGAAATAAGTAGGATCGTGGTTTTGCAGAGATTAGGGCAAACCGGTACAGGGCGTACCCACTTTTCGACCCTGGTGCCTTACTAGATAATGCATATTCTATTAGAGGTAGCCTTATTAAAACCCAGTAGCCTCGACGCAGTCGAGAATTATTCATGTACAAGTACAGCGACGGGGGGGGGGCTAAGGTGGTTTTAGCGGTCTTCCTTTGGAGGTAGTGGTTTTAAGGGGGTGGCTTGATAGAGGATGGTGGAGGCGAATTGCCGATAGCGGAAGTGCTTTTAAAGTCCTATTTTTTAAAGCGGAAACTCAGTCGAAGTCTCGGAGTTTAATTTTGGGACGGACCGCAGTGTTTGATGTTTCGGACATAATGAGCTGCTCGTCTTGCATCGCTAGCCAAGAATTTAATATCCTAGGAAGGAAGATTCCGGTCCTGGCTTACAAAATCCACTTATTTTTATTAAGGTCGGCAATTTTTTTTAAATATTATTATTAAGAATGAAATATTAAATTTTTAATAAATTAGTTCCCTCTTGTACGTCGATTTTATGATGACCCAGCCAAAAAGAACAAAATGCTTTGCACTTCAACTTTCCTGTGCTTTCCATAACTTACGGAAGACTTTTTTATTATTTTTAAACCGGAATAAATTATGATTAACCGCACCAAATTAATGAACTTTGATCAATAGAACTTTCCCCCTATCCGAAAGGAAATCCTCGAGGATCTTATTACCCCTAAAATCCTCCGAAATGTACCTATCAAAGCAACAGTGAATATTACAACTATTTACAATATAATATTTCGCACAATCTATTTACCCTTCAAGTGGAAGCTATCTTTAATAAGTAAGGTACCAAAACTACAGAAATCCTGCTGGGCCCCATCCTCTTATATACCAATAAGCCTTCTTCCCACTTTATCCATAATCCATTTGTTTTGTGGTCTAATTGACCATATTAATTATTTCAATTAATTATTCTTTTTATGTATGGTCTTGGTTGAGATGAAAAAGTTAGTGTCGCGAGCGGGATTCGAACCCACGACTTTCGGCTCAATACTTCGAAAAAAGGCCAAAAAAAAAACAGTGGAAAATTCGAAAGATTGTAGGTTGAGATGGGCAGCTGGTGTTCGAGTGGATCGAAGTCACGACAGCTCAAGTAGTTAGAGCCGGAGGTCGAGGGATCCAACCCCACTCGTAACACAACTTTTTTATTTCATCCAAGACCTTACATAAAAAGAATAATTCATTTATCTATAATCTTGGAACGGTTCTACCTTAAAAGGCTAATAACCATATTCTCCTCTGAAAACATAATTTTGAATCATCATTTGGATTAAGAGTAGTCGACACGATATATTCTGCTCCATATCGCCAATTAAAACGGGGGTACCACAAGGAAGTATCCTAGATCCAGTCCTCTACACCAGCTTCTGGCATACCACATCCAAACACACAACTTAACCTGGACGCACCCTAATCTTATCTACACACAATCCTCTCCTAGACACAGAAACAATCCACCATCTGAACCTCGTTATCGACTGGGGCACTCGATGGCGGATCAGGTTGAACGAGCACAAAAGCCAAGAAGTTACGTTAACGCTCGAACGTCAAACCTGCCCGCTAGCGCACGTAATCGAGGAGGTAATACCACCATCCAACCAAGTAGCGATCTTGGGCTTTACTTAGATAGCAGACTTACATGAAACCCAGGAAGATTAAAATGACATGAACTTAACAAAAGATAAGGACTATTCAGCAACACTAAGCATACGTGATAAACTAACTTTTTTATGCGAACTCAAAAGGGAGCTCAGTTGGTTTGTGAACGGCAGCGAGGAACGTTATATAGTGTGTACCGCTCTTGTAACCTAACATCACATTGTGCAATCTCCAAAAGCATGTAGTGCCCGGAAGAAAAATGTGTCATTCTTATCGAACTGTCCCAAAAATACCAATTATTGTGGGATCCTAAAGAATCCAATTTAAGTCTAGGATTTTAGGTCCAACGTGAAGTCCGTGGTTACCTCTCTTTTTATAGAAATTTGCTCGCCAAAAACGACTGGGCCACATGTTAATCATTCCACATTGGGGTGAACACTGCGGATCTCTTGCGGTGCGACCGTGTTCGCGGCCTCGTCTCCACTTGAAGTGGTTACAGGATCACGGAGCGCTACTGGTTCGCGAATATACTGGCACAATGGTTTATAAAACACTCATCAGAACTATATGGACGAACAGAGTCGAACTGTGGGACTTGGCCAAAATCCTCCAACATCCAATGAATTCGATCTTTTCCATCCAAAATTCTCCGCCGTATCCTCAATGCTCTGTGTCACCAACACCTTAAAGTCCCATTCGTGCAGGATCATATCCGAGCAAGCTTCCTTATTTACCATTATAAAACCTCCACCCTAACCCACTAACCCAAACTCTTCCCTCATTGTCTCACCCTTATAATCCTCCATGCTGTTTAAAACGATGGCCTAGAGACCTCCCATCCGAGAAGGAAGATATCCGAGCAAGTTTCCCTATTTTCCATTATAAACCTATCCTTCAACCCTAACCCTAGCCCAAAATCTTCCCTTAACGTCTCACCCTTATAACCCCCATGCCGTTTAAAACGATGACCTCGGGACCTCATCTTAACCCACCCAATTATGTAAAAGAGAGTTTCATCAATGGCTTCTCTTCCCACTGCCTTCTGGTCTGTCAGATTTGTACTTAACTATACTATTTGCTCAATGTATATATTTTCTACAGATAGCAATAAAATAAAAAGAACTTTTCTTTTTCAGCCCTCAAGTTGCCTGAGTGATAGGGAAGAGGACGAAATTTACGGGTTCACCGGGTACCAAGTCTACGGAAAAACAGGACAACGACCACAAGACGCTGCGCGGCCCTCCCCTACGCACCAACCCTACCAAATAAACAAGCACAACTACCAAAAGTAAGTTAGAAAAACTTGATTTTTAAAACAGAGTTGGTATTACTTTTAGACTTTATACGGAATATATTTTATAATTGTAAAGAAATAAATAAATTAATGAAATTTTAGTTGAGTGATCTGCTATTGTGAGTTCTGGTCATGCGCTATTTTTCTTTGTTCCGAATTTGCGCAGGTTTTTCATAATATATACACTCATTGCATCCAAAAACAAACTCAGCGAGATTACTTAACGAATAATTTACAAAACGAGTTTAAACTTAATACAAGCGTAAGAACAAATTTGTTCCCATTATCACACAAAATTACCATGCGGCACCGTGAAAACTGTAATTATGCCGGGGCAATAAACGGAGCAATAAACTCCTGTTTGCGGTGGGTGGTTTAGAGGGTTTTCAACCTTTGGATCCCATTAGTGGGAGATGCCTCAGGAGATCAAAAGGACCTCGTCGACGATCCTAATGGGACTAACCGCTAGGACTGTCCGTTGTCTCCCTCCTACCTTTTATTCCAACCCCGTTTTCACTCATCTACTTAGAGAACATCAATTTCCGTGGAATACCACAAATAAACTATGATAATTTAAGGTAGTTATGATATAAAGTGTTACATGTTCGTACAAGTTGCCTGAAATTTTTAATACCTTCACTGTATAAATATGTTACTAAACAAGGAATAATATTTTAGTCCTACAAAATAACTTTTTTGATAAACATATACGACGTAACAAAATGTTAATGGAATAAGCTGGTGAATGAAGATATACGGTGGTAGATGTACTGGTACATAATGACTGGATTGACGTGGATTTGACGCCTGTGATAAATCGCTTGTGTCTGTCGAGAAGAGAAATTCTTCTCTGCTCTTGTTTTAGAGAAAAATATGAAGGTGGAAAGCAATTTTCGATTGAATTACCGCTTGTTTGCCTTCTGAGCTTATCTCCCGGTTGGCATGAAGTACCCAGACCGTATTTCACCTACATCTGTCACATATTTTCCTTTTTAATACAGAAGAGTGGAAACAAGTTCAGGGACTGGAGGAACTCTTGTGGGATTGTCAAATCGGTGGGTGATATCCTATGGGACTTCTACAAAAATATAAACTGCTATTCTCAACTGAGTTGACACACTCGGTAGACTTTATGGGGCTTAATTTTTATTCAATAGACAAATGGGCCCTTTCTGCTTCGATGTCTCGGAATGGAAGATGCTAGATCAAGTCATACCAACCAATTATTCAGCTAGAGCATGTAAACTTGACTCGTACAACCAATACTAAATTAATTTTGTGGTATAAACAAAGCTTATCAACAGATCATCAAAGAAATAATTTGTTACTTAAGTACTAGATTAGCATATATAAAATCACATCAAAATTAGTAGTAGTAGTAGTTAAATCTAACCTGGGCACTTTAGAGTATGGGTCGGATCCTTACACTCTACGCGCGCTGTTCTTCTGGGTAGCATCCTCGGCCCGCTACTGTCGTGAGTATATACTGTTGGTGTCCTTTCCCGCCTCGACACCACTATCCCAACGTACACTGATGAACTCCCGTCATAGCTCACCGAACCCTTTAGACACACCTATATTCCATTGAAGAATGGGTAAAAAATGGCGCATTTAGCTATACACCACCAAATCCTAAGATATAATCATTATATTTCGTGGTCGGATTAACCAAATAACTCTGAAATGAAAAAGCTCACGACATCTCAACCTACCGATGGGGAGTTGGTGTCCGAGTGGATCGAAGTCACGATAGCTCAAGTGGTTAGAGCAGCGGCGTATTGAGCCGAAGGTCGTGGGTTCGAATCCCGCTCGTGTTACTAGCTTTTTCATTTCAATTAATACCTTACATAAAGATTAATTAACTAAAATATAACATTCTCCCTTCGCAACACCCTACTTCCAATCTAATACAGCATACCCACTTCCCGGCGAAAGTCATCCGCCAGTAGAGCTGTATCCAGACAAACGACTCACCTGGAATCCCATTATACGACTTAAAAGTACAGAACTGAACCGACGATACCGATTACTTAAAATACTACTATACAATAACGTCTAAGCACTCACTTGACAAATACAACTCAATAGGGAGCTAAGGCATAGAAATGTGGAGTTCAACTAAACCTTCCAATCTCCGAAGAAAGCAGACCTCTGGTGTACTCTGCATCCCTTCCCAAACTCTCCAGTCCCACCTGTCAAAAATCAAAAACTGGCGAATCAAGTTTTACGACACAAAGCCCCTACAATATATAACCTTCACCTTCAGTCCCATCATTCTATCATCAATCCAGACTTTACAATCACGAATCCTTAAATTCGTCAACGCCCCGTTTTATGTTTCCAATCGAACCATCCACTATCTAAATGTTTTTTAACCTTTTTAAATTAAGTTGATAACCGAGCTACAAAAAATTCCGCTCTAACCTCAAATTCCACTCTAATCCCTACAACTTATTTATGGAGGCAGGAAAATATAAAATCTAAATATTTAAGAGATGCTATTGTTTATTTATGCCAATAAAACGCGACTAAAATTATTAATTTTAATTAATCTAATTTTGTATTCACATTTTTAGCTGGCTCAGTCCGAGATCAGCCTATTTCTACGAGTTTCCGCCTTCAGGTAACTATCGCTAGGTTTAATTAAATGAAAATTCCTACAACTCTCGTTTGTTGATTGTATTTTATTTTTGTTTTATTTTCCCTTCAGAGCGGCCAGGGAAGAAGAGGACAAGTTTGATAAGGCTGTTGAGGCATCTGAAGACGAATCGGAAGGACAAGCACGCTTCCAACCGGTCCAATCACAGGGTAAGTTCATTCTGTAGCTTATTTCTGTTCAAAGCTGTAACTTATTTCTCTCCTGTTGACGACGCCATCTTGATTGGTCGTGAAAAGGTGTGCTATTTACTGTATAAAAGGAGTGCTATTTACTGTATAAAAGGATCGAAAACCACGCTTGCAGGCTTGACATGGTTTGTTACTTTTGATATCATACACGACAAACTTTTGGTCGTTACCGATGTTTTGGCCTTCCTATTCTCACAGAATTGGTCTGTCAAACATTTCGGCATTTATTCGTTTCCAGTGTTGTCTGAGGCGAAATTCCCTGCGAACCTAGCCACATCATTGGGCAAATATCGGTCCCTCGAAGATTAAGATTTAACGATTTATCTACATCTATATTCTGCGAATGGCCTAAGCCCATTACTACTCCACTGCGAGAACCATCTCGGGCCATCATTACAACTGTGAGGACTGGTCAGTTCTCGCCCCACGCACATTACATAGTAACCTGGTTCTCACCAGCAAACGAAGCTTTGAACGCGCAGTCATAGGCCAAACATATTGGTTTGCATGAGCATGACCCAGCCTCACCCAATCACCCAACAGAGACAAACCGTAGTAGTGCCTTTAAGTGCTGGGTGTAACCTTCCTTAGGCGTAGTTTTCATTTGTCCTCTCCTCTACCCTCGCTAAGTACAGGCTCACGAAAGCCAGTTGCTAAGTACTGAGGTTGGACCAATTATCTGCTTAGCTCCGTGGAATACCACTAACACATAGTTACTGGGATGGTGAAGTTAGCTAACGCCTCCCACACGCCGAGTTGGTCTAAAGAAAACGCAACCACCGTCCTGAGACGTAAATGAGCCCCTTAAAGAAGAGGCACGTTCTAGCCAATATTGTGCAATTTTCAATATAGAGACACTGTTCCAACTCAGGTCATCGCCTTCCCTCAATGAGCTGATTAGGTAACTCACCCTCCCGAGTAGCTCTGGGCTGGATCATAGGCCGTACGACTCCCTCCTCCTTCAGCAAAATCAGGTTGCCTGTACAAAGGCTTCTTCATTGGGTCGACAGCTGAGTTGCAGGGATCGCTAAGTTGTGTAAGTACGGCCGGCACTTCACTTCACCGTTCCTCACCCATCGGTTGTAATGCTCATTGACGGGATTTAGCGAGCAGTTATAAGCTTTCCTCGCGTGGGACAATTACTTCTTTGTCCGAACCACCGTACACATGCGAGGTCGTCCTGGAAGCGGGTGCATCAGTCCGAAGATCAAATTACAGGTTTATCACCTCGCAGACCACACCGACAAATCTCACACTTTTCGGTTTAGTTCGATAGTTTCCAATCATTTGGGACTGCCTCACTGTTTTGGTACATCAGAGACGTCAGGGGAGATGACACGGTAATCATACTGACTCAGCACTGAAGATGTCGAGAAAACTAAAAAGCGAGAAAAGGCAGACCAGGATGATCGGTAACGACTAAACCATAGGTCCATCACCGTAGTGATTCTGTGAGGAAATCTTACTACTTCTTGTTTTCCGGAATCTGGCGATCTGCCTGCCATGTTCAAATCGTCTGTGGACAAAGTAAACTAATTCCTGTCATACAGAAGAGCTTAAAGTCCAACATCAAGTTGGGTGTCGCCGACGAGGAGTTTACAATGTACAATACCTTTTGCATATAATTACCAATTAAAATTCCATGGGGTGGGCCGGGATTCGAACCCAGAAGTTGAAGTGCGGCAAATACATGTTGGACGTGAGTGGACAAAGATATGTGGCAATGAATATACGTTTTTTTAGGTCCGTACACTGTGTAGAAACAGGGGAAAAATAATAAACGCAGTAAGCGTTCTGTATGAGGTTTTATATACCGTACTGGGTGCAATTGTTAAATGCAGGTTGAGTGAAAAATTGAAAAAAAAACCGACCTCCGCCCAAAATAATTAAAAATACAAACGCTCTCTTGTGGAATTCGGATAGAAGTAAATCACCGGAATAACATTTTGAGGGATTCATCGGGGCGGAAGACGGATGAAGGGTCTGAGTAAATAATATATGTATATCAATTTGATGGCGCGCGGGGAAATGAACATTTTGAGCGGACCAAGTTAATATATTCCCCATGAATGATTCACGAGGTCCAGACCTGTTCTATAGATTAATGTTATTCCAGTGCTGGAAGCAGCCCCGCGGCCTCTGGAAACCTGGTTAATAATTGAACCGCACTAATAGTTACCAGTCCGGAGTGAGGGATATCGCTCCTTCTCATCCAACTGAACGCAAAATTAGACGTCATTTTAATACATCTAAGACTTAAAAGGGGACGACAAGGCTGATATGTCACGGATTTAGACCAAACTTTTTTTGGTGATTCTACACTTCCAAAATATCGGACACGTATCCGCCACTTCTTATGACTAGGCCCTAGTTTCGCCATAACTTTTTTTAAAGTTGAACTTTACCGTTTTTTAATATTTTTATTTCGTCGTTCTACTTGCCCAAATCAACTATGTGAGTATATCATTTCACAGTATTTTTTTATGTATCGGGTTGTCCGGAAAATAATGCAGGATTTTAAGTTTTCATTAAAAAAAATCTATATAAAATATTCTGTTTACGTTTACAGGATTACTCATTTGTATGAATGTCAANTGCGGTCTGGTGTGATGTAGGTTTCAGAAAAACATTTTCTTTATCGTGCCAACGTTTCGATCTTTATTGAGATCATCTTCAGGGCTCAAAGTTTTTTTTCTGTGTAATTGTGCCATTCTTGCCAACCAGACTGCATCTCACGATTTCTGAATACCTAAAACTAATATAAAATTTCGTTTTAGCACCTCTAGAGACCCCTAAATATAAATTTTTGCTTGAATTTAAATTTATTTTTGACCTCTAAAATTTTTCCGATTTTTGTCACGTCGTTATCGGAATCAATCGCAAAAAGGATTTTAACATCAAACAAACCATTTGAAAGAAGAGAAATGTAGCTTTTTAATGACATATATAGGATTAAAGTACATAAATTATTTCTATAAGAAAATACACAAAATTGCAACATTATTTGTCAAAAATTAAACTAGTTTTATTAGATGGGGACAATAGTCCAATTTTAATGTTTGATACAATTATAAAACGCACTTGACAATTTGTTTAAAACTATGAAAATCGGTTCACTAGCTAGCTTTTAAAAAATGATTTTAGATCAAGCACTAGGAGGAAAGAAGTTAAGAAGAAAGCACTTCTGGCAAGAAAGTCGTCAAAATTATCAGTCAAAAAGTTAAGTTTTTTAACTTTCAATTTAAACTATGGATTTTCAAAAGTCTGTAGAAGTCGGTGTTTGACCACCATTTGAAGGAAGAGGTATGTATTTTTTTAACAATATATATAACATAAAAATTTATAATAAATTTCTATAATAAAATTAATTATCCAATATTAACCTCGTTTTTTTTGTCCTTTTTTAAATGGAAATAATATATCGAATTTAATGTTTGATAAGTTATAAAATGTACTTGACAATTTATTTAAAAAGAATTATCGACCATATGGTTTTGATAGGTGAAGGCTTCCCAGGTTTTGATAAAAATGATGTTAATTAATAAAAAAATCTCTTACCAGAGAAAAAATATTAAATAAAATTAAAATATTAATAAAAATTGAAAATATAGAGTAAATTTAATTCAATAATCATAAATCGTTATTTATAGATTTAAAAATATTTTTGTGTAATACAATTTGTTTATTTATTTTTACTCTTTATTAATTCATTATTCTAAATTTACTATAATGGACGTTGTTCAGCAAAACTCTCCATCGCATTCTAAACAAAATTCAAATTCATTCATTTTGAAGGGGGCGTCGGTGGCCGCGACGGTTTAGTCGTTGCCAAGGCGTTCATCACTGTAAGTTGAAGGTCCTGGGTTCGAATCCAGCGGCCCTGCATTCGAACCCGACATACTTAAAAATGGAATGGGCTTTTTTTTCAAAAACACCGGCACCCTGAGGGTTTATATGACCTCTGCTGTTGCGACCCCTCGTAAAAAAAAAAAAAAATTCTGTTAGGAAAGTAGGGCAGAAAATGATCAAAACCTGGATTTGTCCTCATTGTCGTGATTCAGGCGTTATGAAACCCTCTGATGCCAAAAATTTTACTTTTTGACTAATAATTTTGACGACTTTCTTGCCAGAAGTGCTTTCTTCTAACCTTTTATCCTCCTAGTGCTTGAACTAAAATCATTTTTAAAAAGCTAGCTAGTGGACCAATTTTCATAGTTTTAAACAAATTGTCAAGTGCGTTTTATAACTGTATCAAACATTAAAATTGGACTATTGTTCCCATGTAATAAAACGAGGTTAATTTCTGACAAATAATGTTGCTATTTTGTGTATTTTCTTAAATTCTTTATGTTCTTCAAATGGTATGTTTGAAAATGTAGTAGAAAAAGTATGAAAATCTTTTAGACGTTTTTAAATTATAGCCGTTTCCATCAGATATTTCGATCTCCTTAAAATCAAACAAACTTTAGGGGTAAAAAAATTGATAAATTTAAATTCAAACAAAAATTTATATGTGGTGATTAGAAATGAGTGAATTAGAGTGAGTGGAAATACTTTGATTGAATATAAAAAATATATTTTTTGCATTGTATAAATTCACTTTTTTCCACATCCTACATGTATTTGTTAAATTTAAATAATGTTTGTAAATCCCAAGCCCTGAAGATGATCTCAATAAAGATCGAAACGTTGGCACGATAAAGAAAATGTTTTTCCGAAACCTACATCACACCAGACCGCATCTCACGCTTTCTGAATAATTAAAAATTTATATTTAGGGTCTCTAGAGGTGCTAAAACGAAATTTCATAATAGTTTTAAAGAAAAAAATTGTATGACCTAGTTTAAATGAAAAAGTTTGTATTTTAGAAATTTTTTGGTTATTGATAAACTTTTGATAGCTGTTTTGGTACAACAATTCTGTAAGCAAAGTAGGTCAGAAATTAGTCAAAACTTGGATTT